GGGCCCGCCGCCGCCGGGGCCGCCCCGCGCTCACCTCCTCGGGCGCCCCGCTGCCCGGGAAGAAGTTGCCGTTGTCGTAGCGGTGCAGGGAGATGTAGAGCACGTGCGGGTCGCTGTAGAAGGCCTGCTGGGTGCCGTTGCCGTGGTGGATGTCCTGGCGGGGCGAGGAGCGCCGTGAGCACCGCGTCCCCGCGCTGTCCCCCGCGTTGTCCCCACGTCCCTTACCCAGTCCACGATGAGGATGCGGCCCACGCTGAGCTTCTGCTGCAGCAGCTTGGCCGAGATGGCCACCGAGTTGAAGAAGCAGAAGCCCCTGGTGAGAGGAGGCAGCGGGACGGGGGATGAGACCCAGCAGGCAGGGCCGGGTGTCCCCCCCGCCAGGCCAGCGCCAGCCCCGGCAGGGCCCCGGGGCTCCTGCCACTCACATGGCCGTGGACTCCTCGGCGTGGTGGCCCGGGGGCCTGATGACAGCGAAGCCGTTCTGCAAGGACAGAGGGTCACGTGTGGGAAGCGCGCACATGAGCGTGCACATCTTGCACACCCAGGAACACGCGCACAAGAGCAGCGTGCACGCACACAAGCATGCAAGACCATCACGTGCACCCATGGAAGCGTGCAGAAAGTGCACATGAGCACGGACATTGTGTGCATCCAGGAACACATGCACAAGAGCAGCGTGCACGCACAAGAGCGTGTAGGATCACCACGTGCACCCAGAGAGGCGTGCACAAGAGCACACATGAGCGTGCACACCATGCACACCCAGGAACGCATGCACAAGAGCAGTGTGCACACATGAGCATACATGACCATCACGTGCACCCATGGAAGCATGCAGAAAGTGCACATGAGCATGCACATCATGCACACCCAGGAACACATGCACAAGAGCAGCGTGCACGCACACGAGCGTGTAGGATCACCATGTGCACCCAGGGAGGCGTGCACAACAGCACACATGAGCGTGCACACCATGCACACCCAGGAACACATGCACAGGAGCAGCGCACATGCACAAGCGTGCAGGATCATCACGTGCACCCAGGGAAGCACACAGAGAGCACACATGAGCATGCACATCATGCACACCCAGGAACGCATGCACAAGAGCAGCATGCACGCACACAAGCGTGTAGGATCACCATGTTCACCCAGAGAGGCGTGCGCAAGAATGCACATAAGCATGCAGATCATGCACACCCAGGAATGCATGCACAAGAGCAGTGTGCACACACGAGCATGCAGAACCATCATGCACACCCAGAGAGGCATGCAGAAAGTGCACATGAGCACACACATCATGCACACCCAGAAACACATACACAGGAGCAGCACGCAGGCACAAGCGTGCAGGATCATCACATGCACCCAGGGAAGCACGCAGAGAGCACACATGAGCATGCACATCTTGCACACCCAGGAACACATGCACAAGAGCAGTGTGCACGCACACGAGCGTGCAGGACCACCACGTGCACCCAGGGAAGCGTGCACGAGAGGCGCGGGGACACACACGAGCGTGCACAGGGGCCCGCAGGGATGCGTGCACAAGCGCCGTGCACACACGCACAGGCGTGCACAAGCAGCAGCGTGCACAGGGCAGTGCAGGGTGCACACAGGCTGCAGGGAAGGACACGCGCTCGCGCCAGCTCCCCGCGGCCGCACGCTCACCTTGATCTCGCCGGCGGCCACCTTGAAGGCCAGCTCCACCAGGCAGCCCACGGCCATGCGCACGGCGCTCGACGAGTGCATCTCGTTCCACACCGTGTCGCTGTCCACCTGCCCGGGGACAGCGCGTGGCGGGGACATCAGAGGGACCCGGCCCACCTCAACGTCCCCTCGTGGCCACCGCCACCGCCACTCACCCCGATGCCCCCGCACGGCAGCACCGCGTACGTCTTCTGGCTGATGGGACCTGTGGGGGCAGAGCACGCGGTGACACGGGGCACACGCTGTCCCCAAGAGGGAGGAGGGTCCACAGGGGGACCCTGGCACCCGGGCACCTACCCAGGAGCTTCTTGCTGTCGAGTTTCTGCCGGTTGAGCGGGCTGGTGCCGTAGAGCAGCGCGTGATGCTCCGAATGCACCGTCTGGATCTCCTCCAGCGTCGCCTTGCGGCCCCGGATGCGCTGAGGGGGGACACGGGCAGAGTGAGGGGAGCCCCCACGCCGCGCAGAGCCCCGGTGCACCCGGCGCTGTGAGGGGCCCCCCCGCGCCGCGCAGAGCCCCAGTGCACCGGGCGCTGCCGCCCTCACCTCGCACTGGCCCAGCAGCCCCGTCTCCTGCAGCCGGGACCAGATGCTCTGGATGCGGCCGGCGTGCTCGGGGTGCACCGTGGTGTTGCCGCACGCGCACTGGTGCTTCAGCATGAACGTGTCGTAGACGACGCCTGCGCGGGCGGATGACACCTGGCCCGGGGTCCTCGGGGTCCCCCCACCCAAGGGACGGGGCAGCTTCTGCGCAGGGAGGGCCCTGGGGGACGTGGGCACCTCTCGGTCCACTTTGGATGGGGCAGCCTGAGGGACTGCGGGGCCCAGGGCACCCCATGGGACAGGGACATCTCATGAGGCATGGGCATCCCTATGGGACAAGGAGGTCCCCAGGGCGCCCGAGGGATGGGGCACCCCATGGGACAGGGACATCTCATGAGGCATGGGCATCCCTATGGGACAAGGAGGTCCCCAGGGCGCCCAAGGGATGGGGCACCCCATGGGACAGGGACATGTCATGAGGCATGGACATCCCTATGGGACAAGGGTATCTATGGGACAAGGAGGTCCCCAGGGCACCCAAGGGATGGAAGACCCTACGGGACATGGGCACCTCAGGACAGCGGCACCCCCAAGGGACAGGGACACCTCATGGGACAGGGACATCTCCAGGACACCCAAGGGATGGGGCACCCAATGGGACACAGGCACCCCTGGTCCCACCAAAGGATGGGGCACCCTGCGGGAGAGCAGCACCCCCTGGGACAGGGACACCCATGGGACAGGGAGGCCCCCAGACTACCCAGAGGATGAGGCACCCTCAGGACTGGGACATTCCATGGGACAGGGACACCCTTGTGACACCAGGGTGCCCGATGGGACAGGGCCACCCCCAGGCCACCCAAGGGATGGGGCACCCCATAGGACAGGGCCACCTCACAGACATCCCCCCAAGGCCACCACAACATGGGGCACCCTGAGGCCAACCAAGGGCTCTTGGTGCCCCACGGCACAGGGCCACCCTTGGGGCCACCAGGGACAGGACAGCCCAGGGGAGCAGGAGGTACCTGTAGTGAAAAGGTGCTTTGGGGGGGCCTCGGGCGCAGGGGGCTTGAGGCCGGTGCTGGCAGGGGACGACTGAGTGCGACCGAGCGCCGCGTGCGGCAGCGTCAGCAGCCCCCGGGGCGCCGCGGGGTAGAGCTGCAACGGCTGCAGCGGCTCCGCGAACACCTGCAGGGGGACGACTGAGGGCAGCGCGTGCGACACGCGCAGGCCCCGTGCAACACGTGTGCATGCACCACGTGTGGTGTGCATGAACCCCGTGCAGTATCCGGGCAGCGTGTGCAATGCACACGGGTCACGTGCAACGCGCGTGCACAATGGGCAATGTGTGCATTGTGCATGCGTGCTCCGTGTGCAACGTGCATAAACCCCGTGCAAGGTGCATACGTGTAGCACATGCAGTGCACACGGGTGCCGGGAAACATGTGTGCGCAGACCATGTGCAATGCACACAAGTCACAGGCAACATGCATGCACACACACACATGCACCGTGTGCATCACACACGCAGACACCATATGCATGAGCCACGTGCGACAAACACGAGCCATGTGCAACGCGTGCGCACACCCCGTGCAACGCACGGGCCACATGCAACACACGGGCCACATGCAACACATGTGCATGCACTATGTGCAATGCACGTGCACCATCTGCACACACCGCATGCAACAAGCCATGCGTGCACAGGCATGCACGATGCACACACACCACACGCACCGTGCATGCACGCGCCACGCGTGCCACCGCCACGCAGGGCCATCCCGCACACCCGACACCCAGCGTGCGGGACAGGGCAC